AAAAAAAGCAGAGTCAGCATATGACCTTGAGCTGTTTGCTGCACCGTTGTGCCTGAGAGGCAGTAAATACTTCTGCCATTTTCAGATATTATCAAGCTACGCGTTTGACTATTTGAGCCGTAAACTTTCCTGCTCGACCAACTGGGAGGGGGAGGGAGAGCCAAATTCTTGTTTGATGGAATTTGATTCCACCTAAATAAAGTTTTCTTTTCTTTTCTTTACTCCAGTTTAAGGGCTTCCAATTTGGTAAATTATCACTACTCGCCAAATATGCTAACAGGACTTTTAACTAAACACTAAAAGCAGCTGATCTTTTCGGCATTCCTTAAAACTGCCAGTTTATTGAAATTTATAGTTTTATCGCTTGAAATCATGCAACGCAGTGTGCAAAATAACAATTTATGGAAGACCGAAATCTGTAGTAAAAAAGTAGGCAGTAGAAAAAGTTAAAAAGAGCAGTTAATTTAATATGTTTAGGACTATTTGTTGCATCAATAGAGATAAAGTTGAACACTTTACATCCTTAGAGGATTTATTATAAAATTGAAAGTTCTGGCAAGAAAGTTACGGCTAAACAGTTTTTAAAGAAAGCGTCTTGCTGTATTTTGAAAGATTTTTTTCTACTTCTTATTTCTAAACCACTTTTCCATTTTCACTTCTAATTAACTCTGAAACTCTGGTGTGCAGAAATATCTGGACAGTTGTTGATCCTCGCAATCATTTAATTAAAGCGAGTTGTCTCACAGGAAATAAAAAATCAACTCGCACGAAACATCTCAACAACGCTCGTACTGCAATTAGGGTCGGAAAAGTGCCAAACTATACTATGCACTCTTATAAAATTTGTCGACCAAATTCTTGACAAAGCACAACTGGTATCAATCAGAAGAATAAAGTTAAGGGTCTATAAAGTCATAAAGGTAGACAGAAATAGAAATATTCATAAAGAAAACCACTCGTATTTGAAAAAATCCAGGTAAGACTTACTCAGATTTTCTCCACTCTGTTTTCTTAAAATATTTTTGTACCACAAAACGGCAGGAGTAGTTTTAGTTTAAAGAAGTAGAAAAATTTTTATTTAGCGCTGTGACTCCAAGAAATGGTTACAGCTTTCCCTGCACTCAAGTTTACCATCTTAGAAGCAGTCATCTTTAAGACGTCATCCCTGCCACTTACAACAGTTACTGCTGTGGCTTTACCATTAATTTTTACTGAATTTCCACTCATTTTATACTTGTAGCCAACCAATTCAACGGTCTCCAAATATGGCACCGATAAGTTGCTCTGAAAAATACTCATAATGAAAAAAATTGGAAAAAAATTTGTTTCCCTCTAAATGAATATGCAATTATTGCATCCTGTCATAATAAATTTAGTAAACCGAATAAACTCACTCCCGTTCTAGCTGGAGTAATTGTTAAAGTCACTTCTGTTGAAGTAACTAAAAACAGAAACTCCCACAGATAATAATTGTAATTGTCGAAGCTATAAACAATGGATTCACCATCATCGTAATAAAGTTTTCCGGTAGATTTTTTCGGCGTGCCAGTTTTCACATCGTAATCTGAAGAGGAGAAGAGATTATTACAGCAACCATACTTCAGCAAATGAGAAAAATAACTGGAAAAACCTCAAGCTCACCGACTGCAATAAGTAATTCAAATGGGTTTTTGCGAGACGCCGTTGTTGTCGTATTTGGCTGCTGACGAGGAATAATAACTCCGCCTATAAGCGTATTAAAAAATTATGCCTTGAAAAGCAAAGACCAAAAAAACCAACAGTGTGTAAAAGAGTTGTGAAGACAAAACCAGAAATAGCATTTGAATTTGTAGCATGCAAACCTCTTGCGAGAACAGGTATCAGTTCCGTAGTTTTTGCACTGAACCTGTTGTAACCAGGCTTGTATACCTTACCAAACTCTCCTTCTCGCAGTGAATACCACTGAGCTTCCGGTAAGTAACCGGTCACGATCGAAACACTCTAAACTACAAATGTAAGACGTCTTTTAACAATAAAATAAATTATAATTGTAATCGCTAAAGAATATAAAACTACAACTTTAACAGTAAAACCAAACTTGTTCGAGGACCGGAATAACCATCATCGCAGACCCCCACAGAAACTGATGCCCGAGGTCAAATGTATCTGAGTCTCTGGGGAACTCAAAGAATAATGGTCTGATTACAGTACCACCAGCCAGAGAAGCCTCAAAGTGCAAGCTAAAATTCAGCACTGCACCAGTAAAGTGGAAGAATTACAAAACAACTAAAAAATAATGATACTAGATACCTGTACAAATATGGAAGATATTTATATCTAAACAAAAGAGCAGTACGAGATGCAGCAGCAACACTTGGCCATAGACCGGGATCTTGCGGAACAGCTCCTTTCGCATTATGGTTTCTGAAGCTTATTTTTCTATAAACTGAGAAAATACAAAAGAATCGGACCGACATTGTTGTACAACAATTTACCCAGCGAGACTTTGTGGCAGTAGAGAAACGCACCTTGAAAATGAATGGAAGGCACCCATTTGTTGCCATCGTAGACAGAGTTCTTCATTGGTATTACCATAAAATCCACATATATCAGAGCCAACGTATGGAATTCCAAAAATATTAAACTCTTGAGCTCCAATTACAGAGGTTTGCAAATCTTCCCATCGAGCTGTGTTATCTCCCAACCAGTGACCAGAGTAATGCCCAAGCGACGGAAAACTTGATCTAGAAAGATTATAACTAATGTTTACGCCTAAATCTTTAGACAGCAATTTTTGCAAGTTTAAAAATTTATGGTTTTGAGATTTATGGAGGAAGAAGAAAGAATTCGCAAAAAAAAAGCTTTGAAAATTTCTTACCATAAAACAAGAAAACTGTACGAGAATCCTATTAACGAAAGCACCAAAAAAATCATTTTCAACTGTGAAAAACGAAGAGATTTTTTATTTTTGTAGTCAGAATTTTTCTAAACTGCAAGATCTCATTAACCACTTGTTATAATTTTAAAAATGCTTCTTTTACCTAGATATAATAGCTCCCCTTTTCCCCGTAGACTCAAAAAGAGCAGACTGAGTTGCTATTGCCTCTGATAGTGCATATAAATTTTTGGTGTCATAAAACCGGTGTTGGCCTCCAGCAGTCAAAGCTGACATGCAAAGTGTGTTAGTCGAAAGATACTGAAATCTTGAGATGAAGAAAATATGCAAAAAAATGAAATAAAATGCTGCCACATTAATCACACAGAAATCAATCGTCTTACTCACATAAGTCAATTAAAATTAGCTTTATTACTTGAGAAACTACCGAAACTCACCGAACTCCCACCAAAAAGATAGGCTGCTTGAGTTTGAAATGGTGGGACATCGTACTTGGAATCTTCGCCAGTCAAAGGACAAAACAATGGTTTTATATTAGGATGATCTGCATCGTTAAAGTACCATGGATGTTCAATGTTAGTGCCCCAACTCGAAGGTTCGTTCATATCAATCCAAATTCCGTCAAAAGGAACCTAAAATAAATCCGTGGTTGCCGAAATTTCAAAATACACGAGAGCTCAAATAACGACGAGACTGCAGTGCCTTTCCTAACAAGCATGACAAAGTGGTAAAGAGTAATCAATAATCAAAAAAATTCCTCATTTGAATGAAAATAAAAATGTTAATCAACCATACCTGATTATGATACAGTTTGAACTCGTTTACCCACCAGGCAAGAGTTTTGTTAGTTTTATCAAGAAAGTCTGGAAAAGCAGTGTGTCCATCAGGCCAGACAACACCAAGCATAACCTAAGCAAGTCAAAAATTCTTTGATATGGTAAAAGTTAAGATTATATTCTATGTGCACGAAATCTGATCCAAACTTACAATACTTAACTTTCATAATTCATAATGCGCTTTTGAAAATAACAGTAAACAACTAAAGTTTAAGAACTTTAGACTATGTTTAATGAATCCCCACCAAAACATACTTTACTATTTTTGGTAAGCTCATAAAGACCATTAACATCGCCCGGTACTTGGTCGGTTCGCTCCCATTCTATAAATTTCGCTCCCTACAATATTGTTAAAGCTTACATAGTGAGTTACCTTATTCATGCCTTCCTACTTTTTGAATAGATTTTAACCTTATAATAACCATAAAGCTTTTAAACTTACCATCTCAACAGCTCGTTGATAAGGCGGGTAGTTGACTTGCACGCCAGGATCAAAGATGAGGAATAGGTGAAGACCATCTTCGTGCAGTTTCTTCGCATAATTACTAAAACCTGACCAAGCCTACAATACTACGAGTAGTTTACAATAGAAGATAATTATAACAGAAGCAGATTCAATCGTCATTTCATGAAGGACGATCTGTAAGCACAAAAAGAAAATAAATAAATTTGTTGAACACACAGCAAGCAATTTGAATTATATGAATGATAACTGTTTTGGACTGCTAGAACTAACATCGCCAGTAGTGAAGTCCTTAGAGCGATTCATGTAGTCGATGTCAGCATACGGAATGTCTAAAGGAATCCCACTTTTTTGCACTCGTGTTACTGCAGCTTTCATTTCGTCCAGATCCTTGTAGCCCCAACGAGAAAGCTAAAAAGTAAGAAGTTTTTTAGAAAAAGAAAATTGCGAATTTGTATTAAACAAAAATTTTAAGAAATCTATAATTATTTACGATCATTAGAGAAAGATGATGTTTATCTAGCACAAAACAAGCTTATTTTACTTGAAAACCAAGCGCAAAGTAAGCAGGTAGCATTGGGCGTCCAATTAAAGCCAAGTATTGCTTCACGACGTCCTCTGGAGTTGGTCCTGGGAAGAAGTACATGTCTAGTAAGCCACCGATCGTACGGTAGACTAAATGAGGATTTGGTCCCGTTGTCACTTCCTAAATGTACTTATTAATTCAGAAGGTTTTGAAAGCCTTAATACCTTATGTTGCCTTTTAAGTTTTAGAAAACAATAAAAACAATAGGAAGAACTACTGTGATTACCAGCGAAAGTAACTAATAAACCTTGATTAACCTGAGGATTGCTGTTCCAGATTAGTACTCCATGAGCATTCCCATCACTCTCCAAGCAAATGTAAAATGGATGAACACCATAAAGATTTTTTTTGTCATGACCTTTTGAATTTGGAGCTTCATCTCTAGCAAGCATTGCCCATGTTGTGTACTTTGAAAGGTCGTGCTAAAAAAATTATCTGAAGATTAGAAGAACACCATAATAAAGTTTCAGAACCGAACTGGAAACCGGTACAGTTAAAAGGTTTAGAGGTGTAAAGTCTAATACTTGTTTTTTAATTAATACTTAAAAGTTAAAATTTCTTTAGCGCAACCTTAATATTCTCATGAATATTTTCTCCAAATCCGTATATTGTAGCACTCGGTAGATACGTCGCAATCTGTATGTATTTATCCGAGAAAACAAGTCCACCTGAAGTGTCTTATTATATAATGCAAATATTCAGCTAGGCAGAAAAACCTAGTGTGCTAATTCTTGGTCTTTCGCAAAAGAAACGAGACTATTTTATCACCGATGGATGTGTCCCAGATGATCATTTGAGTTGATTTTCTTTTAATGCGAAAGTAAAACGGTGCAGATGATGCCAGTTCGTAATAAAGACTGTCAGTTGACGTTGATTTTTCTTTTGGGATCCGAATTGGAATTTCGTACCTTCAGAACACGCATTTTTCAGCATACCACTATCCAAAACTCAAAAGAACTTATGAGTCATTAATGGACAATATTCACCTATTAGTTGGTCCAATTTTAACATTGAGTGTAGAGCCGAGCATAGATGTTGAGAAATAGATGGGCGAAATATCGTCTCCAAATGGGTTCTTTGGTCCATCACTACGCTTCTGCAAGGTGAGTATTTTGCCAAAATTTTGTACATCGTATCCGCCTTTATCCACTGGGTAGTAGCACAGAGGGACCGTTGGATCAGTCTAGAAGCACCCGGTAATAATCATTAAAAAAAATTTTTTTTAGAACAGGGCAGTATTCTAAATTGTAGAAACATGAAAACCCGCAGAAAAAAAGGCTTCTTTTGCAATTCTCTCTTATAACAAACTGGCAACCACAGTTCCTGGTAAATTTCAAGTAAGATGTAAAAAATGATTTCGACGGTGGCTGCTTATTTCACCACCAGTTTTTTGAAGGATAAGAGAAATAAAGAAAAAAAGAAGACACTGTTTCAACTTGCTCAATTATGACATTTAAAATGTACCAAAATTTCAGGCCACTGGAGAGCTGTGTCTCTTTCTGTAGAATGCTATCATTAAACCCTTACCTGCTCATAATCATCGTCCCACCAACAACCTAATTCAACACATTTTTCTTTACTTGCATTTGGTATTGGAAGACAATCAATCCGTGAGTGTCGAGGTGCAACTTGAGCATTAGAAAACCCAAGAACGAATAGAAGAACTTCAGAAATTCTTAAAATCATCTGAAAGACAATACTTTGCTGCGATATACGGGTTCTGGTAAAATATTCAAAAAAAGGTGGTTAAAACGTTTGACTTTTGTAAGGTCGTAAACAATTGCAGCAGAAATTCTTTCTTACCAGTTTCGCGTTAAAAATTAAGCTATAAAGCAAAAAACGACATTTCACCTACAATTCAAACAAAACCAATTTAATATCAACTAGAAATTCTAAAAATTTCCAGTTTATTTCTTAATTAGACAAAGAAAACTATTTCGAGAACAGACGTTAATGCTAAATTGAAATTTGCGAAGTCAATTGCATTGAGCTAAAAAAACTGCTTTTATCATTATCAAACTGCACTTATATAATATCAATAAATTCTACCAACAAAAAAAGTTACTCATTTTATATTTAAACATTTTAAGTCAAAGGAAAATTTTCTATTCTGCTCACAGCGATAGCAATCAAGAAAAAAAATACATCAGAGTCTAAAAAACGGAAAGTATGTTTTAACAATAAATTTATCACTGTTCCTTATCATGTGAAACATATGTTCACTTTATCATTTTGTGCTGCCAGAAAGAACGGTTTTAGGATAAAAAGAAAACACTAAAAGAGGCAAAAAAGTTTCTTTCGTCTTTGGTCAGTTATGTAACAAATTATAAATCCTCTTTTCATTTATGCAAAGTTTTGCAGAAATAGTGAATAATAAAATTAGCCAATTGAAAGCATATAAAGTTGAGTTCTTTTTTTGTGATAAAGTTTTAGACTGACATTGAAAAGACAGATCCAAATATGCTTTTTTTTGCGCACGATAATTAAATGCATATTGTTTAAAACAAAAGATGTTAAAGCACTTTTAGCGTTTTATTAAGTTGTATAATAACCAAGAAGTAATGCGAAAGATTCAGAAGCTTAAAGTTACCGCTTCTGCAGTTCAACGGATTAGAAAAAAAAACTATTCTGTCATTTGCTGCACTAAAAAGCTGTCGGCTGTTAAGTATGTTAGACAACTGTTTTAAGAGCAGATTTAAACTTAAGAATATTTTATTGTCGCACTTATTTCTTTTTTCTTTTCTGGTTAATGTAATATTTTAGCCTACCATATAAAGTTAAGTTTTCAACTAAAAAACCATTATTAAGCAATTGTTTGACGAAGGATATAAAATATGCAAAAAAAAAAAATTTAGGATTTTTTGTTGAGAAATTCGGGAAAAAATTTACAGAGACAAATAATAGTATCGCACTGAGCAAAGCAAATGACCGAACCAACGGTAAAAAAACCAATTTCTTTTCCCTGCCTTAAAATAACACCCAAACTGATAGATTAACATCAGAAGTAATAGATTCAGTGGTTTTCAAGCGTTTCTTATCACATTAAGAAAAAAAACATCTACATTAGGAAGGCTGCAACAAATCTGGTTAAAAACTGCACTGCTGCACCATAACGCTGAGGAAATTGCACTTGACTGCTTAATGAAGGAAATTACAGCGAACTGGGGCGGATAAACATAGTTTTGCAGCTAAACTGCATGAAACGCTTTGAAGATAAAATTCAAATTTTAAACTACAAATCCAGGAGTGATTGGCAGTCAATAAGTCTTCGAAAAAAAAAAACCTATTTTTCTCCTTCTCTTTTCACCTCTCTACCCTCTTCAAAAAAAAAAGAGCTTTTGAATACGGAAATAATTTCAGATGCTCTGTGAAAAAAGGGTCTGTTTTGAAAAAGAAAAACCCAGTTTTTTTTTTATATGCAATATATTTTGTAAAATCAGTCTTATTTTCAATTAAAATTGGTTGAAAATTTCTTTTGTGCAAAAATTCAGCTGGCTTCAGCATGAACATTGAAAAGCTGCAAATCACTAATGCCAATTTCGAATAATTCATTTTGAAGAAAAAAAAAAAGTTAGCGACAAAGTGAGCAGAACAAATGGCGATAAAAGTGTTGAAACGACTTAGCGATTTAACTCTTTATCTTATTATTATTTTAATCATATCGCGGTTTTAAACCCAAATTTTTATCTGTAAAACTATTTTTTTTTTAATATAAAAGCTATTTTTTTTTTGTAAAAAAGAAGAAAATAACTTATTTTGTGCAAACACATTTTATGCAATATTTACAACAGCAGCAGCAAAATTTATCTGTAAAAAATTGCTTTTAATTTTTGAACAACAATTTTTGAAGTAATTGTTGAAAAAACTATAAGAGGGGAAACCGAAAAAGAGGAGACAGTTCGTTTTTTTTTTTAGTTTGAAGCTGTAAATTATCAGAATACTAAAATTAGCAAAAGGTTCACTGTACAAAACTGATTCTCTGCCACTTTTTTTGAAAAAAAAATGTACTTGTTATTTTTTTAAAGAAATAAAGAAAAATGTTGTTGCTTAAATTTAAAAAAAAAAAAAACGTTTTTCTTGTAAGATTATAAATAACATTTTAAAGTATGCAAGTTACTGATGGATATATCAGATGGAAGTTAAAGTCAGTATCTGCAATAAACTAAAGCAGTAAACAGTTCGTGAGAATTGTTTAGCTATTTTTAGAACACCAATTTACTTACTGTTCCTCAGTAATTGTAATAATTGCAAGTTCTTTTTTTTTTTTCAAATAACATAATAATGACAGCAATAAATCAGTTAATTGTTTCTTGTTTTGGTTAATGTTTCAAACATTTTTTTTAATTAATAGTAAGAGAAAAAAAAGAGGAAATTTAGAATAACTATTAATTGTACGTCAAAGGCGGTATTTTAATAAAGTCGTCAAGTTTACTGTGTGACAAATGCATAATGAAACTTTTTTTTGTTGAGAACGGTGCAAGTTTTGTAGCAGTACCAAAAGAAACTGCTATTTGAAGCAAGTCTAAGCAAAAAAAAAAAGGAAGTTTTTGGCCACTGACAGTACAGACTTTTGTACAGAAAGGTATAATTGACAACGAATATTTCAAAGCATTTTTTATGACTGCAATATTAAAACAAACATTATGGCTAAATGAATTTACGGTACAAAAAGTACGAAATTTCTCAGTTCTTCGATAATGAGTTTCTTGAATAGTGTATAGATAACTACCTTAAAAAAATTTCTTTTTTTTTGGTGCAGAAATAGACATCAAAAAAAATTATTGTTTTTTCCATAGAAAACACAACTGTGTTTTGAAAAGAAATTTTCAAATTTATTACTTCTTATAATTTATTTTTATCGTCATTTATGACAAATTACTGTTTTAATAAGAACTGTTTTATTTGTGCGATATAATTATCATTGCTAAAACTTAGCGTTCAAAAAGATTTTCTTTTCAAATTATGTTCTAATTTTTAGCATCCAATTCTGTTTTTTTCGTTCAAATTTGCACTTAAATAAAGTTTATGAGTGTTCTATTACAGAAGAAGAAATTGTTGGATATTTTTAAGGATGATAAAGCCTGATTGCAAGAATATTTCTAAAAGACTCTCTGAAATGCTAGCACCTTAAAATAAAGAACTGTTACAAAAGAGTCTCAAATTTTGTTTCGAAAAATATTAGCTTCTTGTAAGTCTTATTTCACTCATACTAAATCTCTGATTGGACTTGTTTACGTACTTTTTGAACTACTATAAATTCCCCAATTTCAAAAGAACAAAACAAAAAACCAGGTACCTGGTCAGTTTTCGGTTTTATTGTGCGTGACAGCTATAGTCTAAATAAAACTGTAGCCTTGTGTTTTACTTGAGAAAAACCATAAATGAAGCCTATTTGTTGAATATAAAAAGTAAATCAAACGTTTTTTTAAAGAAGGGTTTACTTGAAAAAACGAAATAAAAATATATTTTGATAAAGTACTATTTTTGTTCTCCTAGTTTGCAAACTTTATATATTTGTAAAAACATGTAACAGTCATATTTAACTTGGAAAATTTTCTTTTACATAAGCTCTTCTTTTCTCTGGGTAATCAGCCGAAAAAATAGGAAAACTGTTTTTTTTTTAGAAAAGTAATAAAATAACAGCTCGTGACCAAGTTAATTTTTTATCAAGTTGAATTGAAAAAAAAAAAATTTGAATGTAAAAAAAAAACACAAAAAATATCAAGTTATAATTGGAATACTTTAAAAGAATAATTTTGGTAATTAAAGTGATATGTTATGAGAAATTGTAGCAGTAGGTAGTTCCCCGATATAAACTTGTAAAGCCAAAACCAGTGCTAAGACAGATTTTACTTCGTCTTTCCGTTTTTTCACTGTAATATAACTGAATAAAAACTATACATTGACTTGAAATGCCAAAAAGAGGGCTACAAAGAAAGACTGCGCCACATTATACTGTCAACTTTTCAACTGTTACTTCAAATTTCTGTCTCACCTTTCTCGGTGTTTATATAAGTTAACTTACTTTGATATATTAGCCACAAATAACTTTGATCATACCTTTGCAGAAATGCGCAAATTCTGCTATCTTCAAAAGTAAATAAAACCACTCAAAATTACACCTTTTATAAATCACTTTATCCTCCATTCACTAAGACAGTTAGCATCTATTTGAAGCTATAACGATTTAAAAAGTACCCTGCAGCGATACAATTTCACCAGCATCCTATTAGGTAACCAATTTTTCGGCCCACAAACATTTCTATTTTATCATTCAGAAAACGCTTCCAATGCTTTTAAATTCTCCATTTCTTTATTTCCAACATTTACGCTCTTCGACAACACGAAATTCAACTCTGCATACCTTTTGATCAGTTTTATAAACTAGATAATATTTTTGGGAATTCTTAAAAAAAAACAAGTTTCACAGTGGTTGTGAACAGCTTTTTTTATTTAATAGCTTAAAAGATAGTTACAATTATAATCCCGAATGACGCTTTTCAAGCTGTCTAGCTATATAGCGCACTTCACAAAAATACGAAGAAATCGTAACACTGAAGGAATCAAAGCACAACAGGAAAAGAAACCAGATGTGAGGTATATGAAAATATGGTCAACTTCTAGTTTTTCCATTTACAAGTTAGCAACTGCTTTGCTTTCTTTACTTCATCTTTTAACATACAAACAATTTGATACACTTGATTTTTCATTTGCTTTTTTCATCTTAGACCGACAAAAATAATTTTTATTTAGCGCTATGACTCCAAGAAATGGTTACAGCTTTCCCTGCGCTCAAGTTCACCATCTTAGAAGCAGTCATCTTCAAGACGTTATTCGCGCCACTCACAACAGCTACTGTTGTAGCTTTACCATCAATTTTTACTGAATTTCCACTCATTTTGTACTTGTAACCAACCAATTCAATGGTCTCCAAATATGGTACCGATAAATTGTTCTGAAAAAAACTTATAATTGAAGGAAAAGAAAAAAAATTAGCCTCTTTTAGACAAGTAAACAGTCACTACACTCTACCGTACCAACTTAGGTGAAGTTTATAAACTCACTCCCATTCTAGCCGAAGTAATCGTTAAAGTCGCTTCTGTCGAAGTAACCGAAAACAGAAACTCCCATAGATAGTAATTGTAACTGTCAAAGTTATTCACAATAGATTCACCATCATCAAAGTAAAGTTTCCCAGTCGACTTCTTCGGAGCGCCAGTTTTCAAATCGTAATCTGAAAAATAAATAAAATCACTGCAAAAAAATCACAAATCATGAAAGTTATATTTTAACAATTAAGGAAAAAAACTATAGAAGAAGCTTAAGTTTACCTATTGCGATGAGTAGCTCAAACGGGTTCTTCCGAGACGCCGTTGTTGTTGTGC